TGGCAATAAAACTTAATGAATAAACCTTATGTTTATTACTGGTCCAAAAGTAATAGTACATTTTCTCAACATAATGAAATGTGCACACATCTTAATGAAAAAATGTCTTAATGCATAAGAATTTCGTAAATAACTGAATGTATTAATACAAATTGGAACAAAGTCCCATATTCGGCACATGATCCTTGAATTTGAATGGTGGCATGCCTTTAGTCAAAGGATCAGCAATCATCAACTTTGTGTTAATATGCTCAATGACCACTATCTTATTTTTGACGTGATCCCTTATAGACAAATATTTGGTGTCGATATGCTTAATTCGACTCCCACTTTTGTCATTCTTTGATAGGAAGACCGCAACAGAGTTGTCACAATAAACCTTTAATGGCCTAGATATTGAGTCCATAACTCTAAGCCCAGAAATGAAATTCTTAAGCCATACACCTTGTGATGTAGTCTCAAAACAAGAAATGAGCTCGGTCTCCATAGTAGAAGTAGCGACCGAAGTTTGTTTGGCGCTCTTCCATGAAACAGCTCCACTGGCCATGATAAAAATATATCCCGAAGTTGATTTTCTTGAATCAACACCACCAGCGTAGTCCGAGTCAGAATAACCCTCAACTTCCAAGTTATCAGTTCTTCTGTACACAAGCTTGTAATCAATTGTTCCCTTAAGATACCTCATGACCTTCTTAGCAGCTCTCCAGTGGTCCAAATCCAGATTACTCTGGTAGCGGCCCAACATCCCGACAACAAAGGAAATATTCAACCTAGTGCAAACCTGGATATATCCCAAGCAACCAACTGCTGATGCATATGGAATATTATGCATGGATTTTCGTTCAAAATCATTCTTTGGACATTGGTCCAAACTGAATATATCTCCTCTCACTATGGGAGCAACACTCGGTGAACAATCCTTCATCCAAAACCTCTCTAAAACTTTGTTGATATACGTTTCTTGTGATAGACCCAGAACACCAAGAGATCTATCCCTATGGATCTTTATGCAAATGACAAAAGATGTCTCGCCCATATCCTTCATATCAAAGTTTTTAAAGAGAAATTGTTTCACCTCATGTAACATCCCCTTATCCTTTGTTGCGAGCAAAATATCATCCACATATAAAACAAGGAAAAAAAAAAATACTCCCACTAACCTTCTGGTATATACAATAATCCATGTGACTTTCAACAAAACCAAAGGAATAAATTATCCCATCGAACTTGAGATACCATTGTCAGGAGGCTTGTTTTAAACCGTAAATGGAATTATTAAGCTTGCAAACTAAATGCTCACTATGACTAGAAGAAAAACCTTCAGGTTGTTTCATGTAAACCTTTTCTTCTAGATCACCATTAAGGAAAGTTATTTTCACATCCATTTGTTGCAATTCAAGATTGAAATGTGCAACTAAGGCTAAAGTCACACAAAGGGAATCTTTCTTACAAACAGGAGAGAATGTCTCCTTATAGTCAATTCATTCGATTTGAGTAAAACCTTTAGCAATAAGTCTTGTTTTATATCTATCAATGTTGCCTAATGAATCTCTTTTGGTCTTATAGACCCATTTGCAGCCAACAGCCTTGGCCCCATTAGGCAACTCTACTAGATCCCAGACTTTGTTACTCTTCATGGAGTCCATTTCTTCCTTCAAGGCTTTGTGCCATAAATCAGACTCCTGGCTACTCCTGGCTTGTGAAACCGTTTTAGGATCATCTTCGACTCCGATGTTAGTTTCTTGCAAATATACTTCATAATCACTAGGAATTGCTGACGTTTTAACTCGAGTAGATCTTCTTAATGTTAAACCATCATCTCCTTGAGGATCTTCAGGTTCAACTACCTCCTCAGGAATTTGATTTTCCTGAATAGGTTGATCCACTGCAATATTTCCAGCATATTGTGGAATTTCTGTAGTAGGTTGATGAGTACCAAGTTGACCTTGAGGGGTGTTTTGTACAATAATCAACCTCTGTGAAGATGTGGAAGGCTGGGATTCCATATGATCATGAACAAGAATCAAGTCCCTGAACCGTTCTCTCCCACTAACTACGTCATTCTAAAGAAATTTTGCATTTCTTGATTCCACAATCCTAGTCGTATGAGATGGACAATACAACTTATAACCTTTAGATGATTGCACATATCCAATAAAGAAACCACTAATAGTCCTTGGGTCCAATTTCTTCTCATGTGGGTTATAAATTCTCACTTCAGATGGGCATCCCCAAATACGCATATGTTTCAAACTCGGTTTCCAACCTTTGAATAACTTAAAAAGTGTCTTAGGGACAGCCTTGGTTGGAACTCGGTTCAATAAATATGTTGTCGTCTTTAGTGCTTCAGCCCACAAAAACTTAGCAAGATTGGAGTTGCTAAGTTGTCTGACCAAGCTTGGTCCTTTATATGACGAACGACTTCATGTGCACCGTTGTCATTTGGCGACGAACGTCCCCAACGTTATTCTTAAACCTCAGACAAAGCTTGGTCCTTTATATGAAGAACGGCTTCGTCAGCACCGTTGTCATCTGAGGACGAACGTCCCCACGCCATCATCAATTTTAGGACAGCGTCAAAGATTGGTTCTTTATATGACGGACGACTTCATCAGCGTCGTCATCATCAGGAGACGAACGTCTCCAAACGCCGTCCTTCATCAAAGCACGAACGTCTTCACAAAAATCAAATGTACAATTTTTGTGACAAATAAATTATGCTGGAAATTAAAAATGCAATAATGTAAATTTTATTTACCTTAAAAGGATATTCAAATCCTACTAGTATAAATTTATTTGACACAAAAATTAATCTTATCACAAAAATGTTCATATGCATTGCATGTGTATGATTGAAGACAAAATTTGATAGGCATTTAATACTAAAACGTACATGGGGCCTAGAGCATGGGATGCATACAACGAATCACCAAATTGATCCTGAAGTGATCTTTCAACAGCTCATCAGTGAAGACAAGGAAATCACCAAGATCGGTTCTAGCACAAGAAGACGAACAACAACACGTATTTGCCAGAATTTAACGTCAAAGATTAATTCATCTCAACCAACGGATGAGATTAATCAACTGGAGAAGCCTATAAATATAGGCCGAAACATGAGTTCTAAATTAAGTTTTTGAGTCTTCTAAGTAGAGAAAATCTTACTAAGCATTCAAGAGATATCTAGCAAAAGAGAAAGTGTCTGTTTAACTTTGCTCTCTACTTAGACTCATGCTTCACTAAACTTTCAAGTTAGAGCTCTTCATTGCTATATTCTGAAAGTTTAGTTTTTAGTTGGAATTGTATTTCTTGTGTATCTTGTAACACTTGTAAACACTTAGGAGGACAGTTGTTCAAGTCCTAAGTGTGGTTAGATATGATAGAGTACTTTTTTATCCCCACATGATCAATCGAGAAAAACTTAAGGACTGAGTAACTTGGAGTGGTGTGTACTCCTTGTGAAACACCTTCAATCTAGGTCGCTTTGTGAGAAAAGGCTAGATTGACACTAAGTGTATTGGGCTTAATACTTTAGTGGAAATCCATCTGAAAAAAGGTGGGACTGGAAGTAAGAGGATTACACCACCTCTGAACCAGGATATCCTGTGTGTTGATTTACTTTCAGTCAACAAAGCACACACCAAACACTTCTTATTGAGAGAAAGCTATTCATTAGCAGTAGCCTGAGCAGTTGTCTCATCTTAGCTTGTTGTGGATGAACGGCCTCAGGACCTAGCTGCAGGTGCGGTGTGAAGGTAGACGAACGTCCCTAGGAGGATTAATACCATTCAACCAGTAGGTGGAAAGGTGGACGAACGTCCCCACTGCTCATTACTCAGCAGGTGCCTCAGCAGACCAGCGCCAACACCTTGATCCTTCATCATCGGACAGACGTCTTCAGAATTATCGAACGAACGTCCTCAAAATCATCGGACGTGATTCTACATCTGAAGACTGGCTTCCCCGGAATCATCGGACGAACGTCCCCAGAATCATCAGATGAACGTCCCCAGAATCATCATACGAACGTCCCCGGGTGTAGGATATAAATTGCGCAGCAGGTGCCTCAGCAGTTCCGTGGTCAGACCACTGCTCTCATAAACCTTCAATTCAACTCAGCTCAGCACATTTCCAGAAAGCTCTCATCATTCTGAGTAAGATTTTATAATCAGCTTTCTCATACTTTCATCTTTCCTTAGCAGCTGACTCAGCAGTTCACTGCAGTCCACTCAGCTGCCCAGTCAATTGCTCATTTAAATACGTCCAAACTCCACTCAAACATAGAAAGTTATTATACACTATTTATTTAGAGGTCAAGACTTCCGCTGCATATCTACAATCTCCCAAAAGATTACAGATCATTCCATCTAGTAGGGAAAAGTTTTTAAAGTTGAAAAAACTTTAAAAGTCTATTCACCCCCTTCCCCCCTCTAGACTTTTACCTCTATCCGGGACCATCAGTTTCTCACATTGGTTCTCAACTTTAGTCTTGAAAGACTTGAAGGCATCCAATGCTTCATACTTATTTTGAAGCAAATACACTTAGGTATACTGAGAATAATTGTCAATAAAGGTGATAAAATATTTCTGACCCTGCAAGTCCATTTATGGACAACATATGTCAGTATGTATGATTTCCAATATACTTGAACTCATATTGGCATCCTTTTTAAACTTGTGTCTGCTTACCCTTAATGCGGTCTACACAAGTTTCAAAATCAGAAAAATCAAGACTACTAAGTACCCCATCATTAACTAACCGTTTAATTCTTTCAATGAAGTTGTGGGCTAATCTCTGGTGCCATAACATAAAGGAATTCTCATCAACACTAGGTCTTTTTGAGCCAGTATGCTCATGAAATGAATTAAGTGTGGCATCATTTTGCAAATCAATACGGTAAAGACCATCAGACAAAGTACCTTTTCCAACAAAAGTAGATTTATTGAATAATTCAATAACTTTATTCTTGAAATTGAAGGAAAAACCGAATGGTACTTGTCTTGAAATTGAAATCAAATTTCGTGAGAAACTTGGTACATAAAGTCTTTTCCAAATTTAAAACAAAGCCACTACTTAAAATTAAAGTGCATGTTCCAATTGCTTCCACATGTGAGCCCATCTTGTTTCCGAATAAGATGCTTTGCTCACTTCCCATTGGCGTCCTTAGATTCTGCATACCCTGTAAAGAGTTTGCAACGTGGATTGTAGAACCAGAATCAATCCACCACGAATTAGTGTTAACATCACACATATTGGATTCATGACAAACAAAGGATGATAAGTTACCTTTATTCTCCAATTACTTCTTGAACTTGGCACAATCTTTCTTCACGTGTCCTTTCTTTTTACAGAAATACCACTTATGTACCTTCTTAATGTCAACTTTGGATGGTATTTTACCTTTACCCTTAGCTTAAGAGGTGGTTGTACGAGACTTGTCAAATTTGTTCTTGGATAAGGTTGGCTAGCATGGCACTTTCACCCAACTCCATTATGAGCCTTTCTTCTTCTTGCACACACATGGTCATTAATTCATTAATTGACCACTTATCATTATGCGTGTTATAAGAGATTTTAAATGGCCCATATTGGTGAGGAAGGGTATTCAAAATGAAGTGCACCAAGAACACATCCGACATAGTTACCTCCAAATTTTGCAATTGACCCGCTATATCCCGCATCTTCATGATGTGCTCTCGCACACCCTTAACGGTTGTGAGACGGAGTGAGGAGAATTTCATGCATGATTAAGGTATTTGCTAAGGCCTTTTTTGAAGTGACAAATTGATCATCAATAGCCTTAAGCAAGTCATTGACATTCTTATACTGATCAACCGAGCCACGAATTCCATCGCTCATATAGCGCAATTTCAGCCGGAGTACTTTGTGCATTAATGACGGGCGGTTCATCTGTTGGGAATATTTTATGGTGTCCAATCTATTTAAATATCTTTGTATTTGTGTAGTTATTAATTAAAAGTGCAATATGGGCCACAAATGTATATCAGCCCATTAGCTTCTTTGTAACCCATAAGTTAGCTAATTTCCCCTATAAAAGAAAGCTAACTTATGGAAAACCTAAGGTTTTGAGAGAATATAGGCGAGATAGAGAGATTAGGTTTCACGATGCTCTCTCTTTCTAGGGAGAGCAGCGGCAGTTCACACGGTATACCAAAGGTGTTGTTCATCTCGATATCTTTCTATCTGCTTCTTCTTCACTGTTATGATTGTTTGATTGTTAGAAACTGGGTCTATCATGTTTTCAGTTGGGGCGGGCGTTGGTGCGCAGCGGTAACTAAACCAATACTCCCCAACGCACGCCCACAGGTACTGCGTTGGTGATAATCAAAAGTGTTGACTCAACCGCCATAAAAAATTGCATGTGGGCTAAATACTTATGCATGAGTCTTAAATAATTTTGTACACATATCGATAAACATATCAAACTATATTCCGAATCATAACTTCCTGTGGGATAAATTAATTATGACCATACTCCGATATTTTATCCTAATTAATCATACAAATATAACAAGAATTTCTTGTGGGATAATTTATGTCATATCACGTACAATTAATTACAAATTTTATGCTTATCTTTAATGTGATTTCCGCCAAAGGCTTCTTAATATATAATGTTGATTAATTAAGGATGTTGTGGCTACTCCAAAATTAATAAAATTATATTATCACAAAGGCAATCCTTTAAAGTTTTAAAACAACAATCGTGATGGACAATCCTCTAATATGCTCCCAGGATAGTCGGTCGGGGCTAGGTTTTATTAGAGAGTAATTCTTTTGATAAATTAACAGTTCGAGGGAAACTAGTATAAAGAATTGAAGTGTAACTGGTTTGTACTTCCCAAGAATTTTCCTCGGTCTAAATTTCTCACGTTAATTGTTGTTTGGGTACTACCACAAATATTTTATTTATGGGAAAAACTTTAAAAGTAGTGGAATGAGAATTTTATTTATTTAATGTGCTTAAATTGCAGGCACTATCTCAATTATAATTATGCACAAGTTCAACTTTAATGGGAATAATATGTGCATTAATTCCTAACGTTATGCATTCAATGCACTAATAACGTTACGCATTAAAGGCATTAATAATACGTTACACATTAAAGACATTAATATTACGCATTAAAGGCATTAATTTCTAACGTTATGCATTACATGCCATATCAATATAATGCATGATTTCAATGCACAATTAAAATGCAATGCATACAGATTAAAATTAATGCATCACGTAACAATTAAAATAAATGTGCTTGAAAAAGAATTAAACCATTCCATAACACACACAAAATTATCGATCCAAATTAAAATAGCACAACTTAATTTATTCAAAGTGGATCCCAATTATAGTAATAAGTCCAAAACTTATTCTATAACTTCATTGAGACGCTCGGAAACCATAATGGAGTCACTACGTTCCTTATGATGTTGTATCAAACTCCTCATGACAGTACCGCCGCAGCACCCTATGGTGCTACATCAACCGGCAGCCACCATATCCGATAGCATCTCCACCATACATATAAATGTAGCAAACATAGATACATAACATGTATGGTATACAAAATATTACATATACAATTTCATATGTATATGTAGAAATACCATATGTATTCATGTAAAACACATCAAAATTATTAACTAGCCATCCGTTTTAATATTCTCCAAATTATAAACGGATAGAAGAATCACAAAATTTGCAAAACACATGTATATACATATGGCTCACATACATATATAAATATAATTCACTTAGAACATATATTCAAGAATTAAATGTAACCATAGTCATTCCATCAAACATAATGATAGGAATTTAAAAGGTTAACATATGAATTTGAGAAAATCATATGTATATATCTCTCACGATCAAATATATATACATGTAACAATTCCAATACATAAACTCATATAAACATATATAATTTCTGAATATATAATAATTTTCGGACAACATATGTATATATATAAACATATATAAATTATATGACACAAGTATTCATGTATCCCATATGAACGAATATGAATATACATATACATGAGTGGTGCATTAATATAAACATGTAATCATGATTTACATCATACATAGATATGTATATGTCTTGTTCTAACACACATATGATTCAATTTTCATGCATATGACATGGAAATCATGTTAAACGTACACACACACACACACACACACACATATATATATATATATTCATAATATACGAACAAAACATACATATGTGTGATGTGATGAACACATATATGAACATGTATATACCGAATGCTCATATAAAATTCATGATGTTCATACAACAAATAGACATAGATTAAACAGGATCTGATACCAAATGTTAGACTAAAATCATAACAACGCATCAGAAATAATAGGATCGCTAACCTCCAGCATATTGTTGATGAACACTTGAAGAACGTAGAAGAATAGTGGAAAGCCTTTTCGTCTCCCACTTCACTCCTCACTATCTAGATGGTGTATATTCCTTATGTGTGTTATAGAGCTATGCACGTATGCTTACACATATACTTGAGTGTGGAGGAGTGGGAGGACCATGGAGCACTTATATAGTCACCTACCATCAAGGTGGCTCATGTAACGGAAACTGTTACAAATATCAGTCATCATTGCACCACACTTATGGGACATTAATTTTGATTAATTCAAAACAATTCAAAATAATGTTACATCAAGGACATTGTCATTAATAAACCAAGTTTTTCATAGCAAAGTAATAAAACATAAAATGTAAAATGTGCAGATAATGTGTCGTTCTATAACATTTTCGATTTCTCGCATTCGCTCTATTAGGTATTACACTCATTCTTACCTATTTCGAGCTTTATCCGATCATGGTTTTCAAATCTTTTCTAATTATTTATGATTTTAAAAGGAATAGAAATGTCCCAAACAAATGAAAAATTAGTCTAAGTTCACTAGTACTTGTCACGATCATTTAACATAATAATGACTTAACAAGAAGTACATCATATGAATTTAACATATTTGCTTTGTATACGCCTAATCTTAGGTATTTCGCCTAATTTACTTCGGACTCTTAATCAATGTGTGATTCAAAACTATTCACTCCTTTTATGATTTGATAAAAGTTATTAATCATCTATTTCAAAAGTCATTTGAGTTTTCTTAACACGTTTCACTATTGACAAATGACATACACACATCTTAAATACTCCGTATATTTATGGGTCGAGATTGGCTAAATCTGTTCATAAAACGGATCCTGTGAACTAACACTCTCTTCATAAAACTCATTCTCTCCTTTTTTATTTAGGATGCATTTACTTGGAATGAAATGTTCTAATCTAGTCTGATCTGGTCTGATTTATTTAAGTCTAATTTGATTAGATTTGATCTAAACTGGTCTGGTCTAATCTGGTAGATGTCTGGTTTCTTTTTATTTTACAAATGTTGAAGTCTGGTCTGGTCTGGTCTGTTTAAATTTGGTCTGGTCTAATCTAGTCTATTTAAGTATGATCTAGCATGTTTTAGTCTGGCCTAAGACCGAAATTAGTCCAAGTAAAAACAACCTTAGTAAAAAGTATTAAATCAATTGATCCTAATATCATCATTCCAATTGGTTTTTCAACATTTAAATAGTTAGGAATCATTTTTTCTCTATATATAGAGACTGAAATAAAAAATACAATTACTGACTTGTTTTACTTCATGTCTTTATTGTTTTTGAAAATAATATGAATCAAAATTTGATTGGAGTTTGTAGAGTATAGCTAAGAATTCATGTTGTTTGAGTAATGTGCAGGAATAGATATTATCCATGAGCGGCATGATCGGGCCTCAAACACCTATATATGGACAAATTTGAAACCGGCCCAAAACGGCTGATTCTTGATCGGATTAGACGTCCCGTTAGCACTAATATGGGCCAAGCTCAAAGAGTAATCAACAGTGGATATACTCTTGTAAACGTGCATAAATTGGTCATGAAGTCGCATGAAACTGTAGACTATTATCATTATAATAAAGAGTTGTCAAAATTCTCTCCGCATTGAAATAATTGATTACTTTCGTACTAAATTCATATCTCAATTATTTTATCACAACCTCTAAAAAGATCTAGTGTCTTGTTTTATACCAACACATATTACTTGGTTTGATACATGAATGAAGTTATTTCATCCTTCGTGATATCACTTAGGTGTGTGCCATTGGAACTTAACACACGATATCAATTAAAAGAATTGATATCAATTCGTGATATCAAGAAGTGATCTACAAGCGTCTGGTTTGTGTCATTTGTACAGAAGGGTCGGGTACAGGAATTAGCTCAAAATTATTAGCGCCCTCAAATAGCAATCAACTCTAAAGAATTCTCAACAGAAATGCAATGCATAATATCAACTTGCAATAATGCTTTCAAGATTGAAGAATCAATCTTACAAGAATGATGTATATCCTCATCCATTCATTGTGTCAGAGGATCCCAACCAAAGATTGCTTGTGTTACCTCATGAAACCTCACATGTAGCATATTCAATCGTCTGCATTGGCTCCTTAATCCTTATGTAATACTTGAAATTTAATTTAAATGGATTAATAGTACCACTCAAATCAACAATGTGCATCTCCTTTTAAGGAAGCTCATCAGTGAACTCCAAGTTAAGCGTGCTTGTATAGGAGTAGTCTTGGGATGGTGACCTCCTGGGAAGTTTTTCAGGGCACACACGAGTGAGGACAAAGTGTGTGAAAAAAGCTTGTGTTACTTTGTGAGGACAATACTAGATGTTTGGAGGGTGTGTAGGAGTAACTACCTCGGATATAAATAGAGAATTGTGTCCCTTCTCAATAATTCAAATAAAGCCTCTAAATATATTAGCATCATGAAGGTTAACAGTGGAATTCAATTCTAATCTAGGTCAATATCTAGAGGCTTAAGAATGTTAGCTCTATCCTTCCAAAACGGAAAAGAAGGTTAAATATCTAGAGGCTTAAGAATGTTGGCTCTATCCTTCCAAAATCAACATGTTGACCACATTACTCTTAAGTTGGCCTCTTCGATCATCTAGCTCCGAAAATTGACTTGCATAATAATCACTAAAAAGACCTAAAACATATTAATATCTCGAGATGCGTCAGACGCTGTCCTAAGGAATTATTTCCAATGTATGGAAATTCCCTCAGGATATAACAAGCCCTTCAGTATGAGACCGATAACAGAACTAACAAGAAGAAAATAGTATATGAACTTAGCAATAAAAATGTATTGTGAATTTGTTGTATACAAATTTCACCATATATACTTGGCATCCAGGAGCATGCAAGTAAGAATTTGTTTTTGTTGTATTCCAAATCTCTACCCATTTTCGTGGCTACACACATCCTTATATATATACATATGTATATATATATATATACATACGTACGTACATACATACATACATACATACATACATACATACATACATACATACATACATACATACATATATATCCATGTACACAATGAAAACCAAACGTGGGTACTAGAGAGACATTTAATGAGATTGAGGTATGAATTTAAAAACATTTAAAGAATAATGAATACAAAACGTTTCTACATTAACTCCCAATAATGCCCACCGTTAGGAGAAGTAGTTCAGCCAAATTAATATAAAGTTTAATTATTATAATGATCAATAATATAAAAAATAATACTACTATTAATATGGTGGGATAAAAATGTCTTTTGATTCATGATAATATTTCCCACAAAAATAAAAATTAAAAACTTATTCATTTGGAAACTCCCAAAAATTCCAACAAAGAATGTATAAACTATAGGAAAAGAGACAATAGGAAAAAAAACTAACGCGTGGTATATTATTTTGAAAAGACCAATGAAGGCGGTGGTGGAGACAAGAAAAGGATGGAGCCCCCAAGCAAAATTTACATTATAAATATATTTATATAGATACTTATAATGTGTAAAACAAATTAATTATGTATCAAGCTATGGCCCCTAGTGCATAAAATTTTCAAACCCAACCCCCCTTACAGTATATTCCTGGCTCCACCACTAGTTAAAGGTGAGATCTTTATTTAGATTTATCGACTCAATAAGAAAAGAACATGTGAAAACTATCAAATCGGGGCCGTACTATGTAAAAATGAAGAAAAGTAGACCTTCATACTTTGAAAACACTCAAAAACAAACCTCAACTTTTTTAAAAAGGGCTCAATTGTGTGATTTTGGAGGTAAAAAATCAGGTTCTCATTAACTGCACATGTACGTGGTGAACCATGTGGCGGATTTTTTCTTTTTCTTCTTGTTTCTTTCTTTCTACTCTTTCCTTGTTCACTTTCTTCCTTACCTGTATATTTCCTCCCCAACAATAAGCTTTAGAATCAAGAGGTAGTTTCAGAACCATGGGCCGCAAGGAGAAAGGGGAGAGGTTTCTTTCGACCTTCAATGCCGTCACAGAGGGGGTTTGCCCTTCGGTCTTCACTGGTCCTACCTCAGCTGTGGATTTTCATGGATGGTTGATTTTTTTTGCCTACAAAAACAACATCCAAGTCTCAGTCCCAAAAGACATTGGGGTCGGCTAACATGAATCGATACATGATATCACCACCAAAAGAAAAAGAAAGAAAATAAAGATGAAAAAGATAAGCTATTATAAAAAGATAATATAAAAAAGAGACGAATATACATAAAAATGATAAAATAAAAAGGATACAAATAATATATATATATATATATAAGGATAAAAAACAAGGGAAAAAAGATGAGGAGAAAAGATGATACAAGATCACTCCTCCTCACGAATACCCGCCCTCCACTTTGCTCTCTCCAAAGTCATACCCTCATCCAACCCAAGAAGAAGCATATCACTTCGGACTCCCCTAGCCCACGTCTGTTTGGGCCTTTCTCTCCCTCTCTTCCCTGCCTCTTCTCCACACATCTCAACGCGTCTGACAGGTGCATCACTCGGTCTACGCACATGAGCAAACCGCCGTAGGCGCGACTCCCGCATCTTGTCTTTAATAGGTGCTACTCCCACCCTTTGTCTAATCGTCTCATTCCTCGTGCGGTCCTTCCTAGTATGCCCACACATCCAATGCAGCATGCGCATCTCTGCCACTCGTCTTTTGAATGTGACATTGTTTCACCGCCTAACACTCTACGCCATACAACAATGCATGCATAATTGTTGTCCTATAAAATTTACCCTTCAGTCTAGTCGGCATACCTCGATCGCATTGGAAATCCTAACGCACTCTTCCACTTCATCCACCCTATTTTGATTATATGGGATACATCTTCATCTAGCTCACCGTCCTTCTGAATATGGAGCCTAAATAACGGAACATATCGCGCATGGATCGCCACTGGTGTATCCATCTTCTCTAACAGTTGCAAAAGAGTAGTCTTAGTTTACTGCCACTCTTCGTCATTGATCGTCTCATTGCGGTGGAATTGAGTAGAGAAAGCATTCATATATTGCAGTAACCTTCCTCGTGTGGAAGAACTAAACTCCCATTGCAGGAGAGAGAGAGAGGGAGGGAGGGAGGGAGGGGGAGAGAGGGAGAGAGAGAAATAAATAAAGAAAGAAAGAAAGAAAAAAAATGATAACCCCGTGAATCGCCAGCTCCTATATCATATACATCCGCGTGTATGTACACCCAGCCCAACTATGTAAGACAACCCAATAAATCATACAAGGCAACAAAAATTCGGTGTCATTTTTGTAATTTAGGCGAAAACTAACGGCTTCCGCTAAATGAGCAATATTGTACTTTTAGTGAGCATCCAACTTAATTTATTGAGCATTAAGAGGCTAACAATGAGTATCACGATCTCTGCTTTATATCTTCTATTTTTTGTTCTTTTTCTTATTTTTTCTTTTATAAAACTTATTAAATTATATCTATAATCCACTCATATTAATTCCAATATACGAATCTAATGTAATATGATACTTTTGAAATATGCATTGATATGACATTTTAAAAATGAGCATAACATCAGTACCAAATGAGCATACATAACTTTCAAAGTGCACATTGATATGAAAATCGTAAGGTTTGTTAGCCGAACATCATGACATTTGAATTGAGCATCAGGCCTCATCTATTGAGATGAAAATCACAGTTTTTGTTAAATGAGCATTAATGAACATTTAATGAGCATCATACTTATTATGTTGAGTATTAGGATTCCAATATTAAGCATCGTGAATTCTGTTTCATAACTTCAGATTCACTCTTTTTTTTGTTTTTTTTTCTTTTATAAAAACTTATTGAATTATATCTATAACCAAGTCTTATGAATTTCAATATGCGAATATAATATAATGTATCTCATTTTAAAATGAGCATACAACTAAAACTGAATGAGTATATACAATTTACAAAATGAGCATCGAAAAATTCAAAAGCTCATTTCAAATCTCCATTGTGCTCAAATGTTCATTAATGCTACATCAATGCACATTTACTTTAAACGGTATACTCAATATCGTATAACACACAATTCATTTTAATAACCTCCATGAGTAATCATTTTAGAACATATATCAATACACATTTCTTGTAAAGAAAAAAAGAAAAAAGACAAAAAAGTAAACTAACTAAAGTAAATTAACTAAAGTAAAAGTAACGAAAAAGTAAAATAAAAGAAACGAAAAGAAAAAAGAAAGTAGAGAAAAAAAGTAACGAAAAAGTAAAATAAAAGAAACGAAAAGAAAAAAAGTAACCAAAAAGTAAAATAAAAAAGACAAAACAAATATAAAAAGAACTAGAATGACGGGATGGGGGCTAAAAAATGAAAAAGAATGGCGGCTGAAATAAATAAAAGAAACGAGAGTGAGGTAATGAGGAAAACGGCAGAAGAAGAATCAGATTGCCACGTCATTTAATAACCGGGTGTACATGTACACCCGGGTGTATAATATAATTTGCGGTGGATCCCCACAATTAACTGATTATTTACCTATAAAATTGGTCAATTGGAAGTTTTTTAAAAAATCGAGGTTTAATTGGCTAGTTTGAAAGAGTGGGGTACAAGTAACTTTCGTGAGGCCATATATTATTGTTTTTTCAAGAGAAAGTTATCTCTCATGTTGGTTCCCTTTTCCCAATTTACCTTATTAAATTTATCTAACTATCAGAAAAATAATTTGGCGTCATTCCCAAATCCAGAAAAAGGATGGAAGGAGCTGAAGATTTTCAAAATCGCTTTTAAATTCAATCAATTCACAGGAGGCCGGAATTAAATAGTAGTTTCTTCTATATGCATTATTCGATCATCATCGCCATTTTAAATAAACACATGATCTAACATAAACCAACAGCCAAACCAAATCAAATGTTTCTGCAATTGCCATAAACAATTTATGAAGACAATACACAATCTTCATATAGGTACATAAAGGGATAATAGTTCTAGGAAACAATAAAAAGAGAGGGAGCATGGGGATGGATTGTTACAGCTTATTGAAGGTGGATAAGACGGCGACGGATGAAGACCTGAAGAAGGCTTACAGGAAGCTGGCAATGAAATGGCATCCTGACAAGAACCCTACCAATAAGCTCCAAGCCGAAGCCATGTTCAAGCAGATCTCTGAGGCGTATGAGGTCTCTCCCACATTCCCTTCCTTAATTCATCCCCTTTTCAATTTTTTAATTTACATATTAACTTTGATTGCATACGATTGCCATAACTTCAGTTTATTTTTGCTATCAAATTTGGATCATATTTTAACATATTTCAAGTACTAGTAAAAAATATTGTCTAATTTCTAAATATGTGACTTTATTTATTTATATTAATTTAAATATTATTAGTTCCGTCAAGTGCTTTTGATAGTAACTGAAAAAACAATCTAGGACATAGACTGCATATATATACTTTCACCAATCTCTTCACAAGAAGTTTTGATGAGGACTGGATATATGTTACTGTTTATCAATATCTGAATTTAGTATACAAAACTTTTGTCATATTCAAATTCACTTTTTTGCGACTCAATAACATTTATAGTATAGTTTTTAATTATTAAAATTGAAAATATTAACTCCAACATGTGTGTTATCAGGAGATATTTAGCTTTAACATTTGTCAAGCATGATAACCATAAAACAAAATCGGAAAAGTACAGAAAAGGTACTTGTGGTTGGGCCCGTTTTGAGATGGAGTCATGTGTTTCATTCTTTATCAAAGTCGTTCATGTGTTTGAATTCCGTTATCACAAGAGGGTCACGTCGTTAAAAACGTCTGAAAAAGACCATTAAAAGTAACTCCGATTTTCAAAAGTGTCCAAAAAATAAAAAATGACCTCCAAACCACCTTCGCTTTTGGATTTTTCATATCTGTTTGAATTATTTTTTAAAAATGATTTTTCTAATATCACTTTTCCGATGGACTTTCCGGTGACAAGGGTGGCCGAAACAAAAAAGAAAGATGACCTAGCGGTCATCTTATCGAGGCACACCTTCCGGTATTTTTCTTTTAACTTCTCGAGCACTTTTGAAAATCGGAATTACTTTTAACGGTCTTTTTCAGACATTTTTAACGGCGTGACCCTCTTGTGATAACGGAATTCAAACACATGAATCACTTCGATAAACAATGAAACACATGACCCTATCTGAAAATGGGCTCAACCACAAGTACATTTTCCGTACTTTTCCCAAACAAAATTTTCTATGGGGGAGGTAGTATCAATGATCATTTGATTCATCATGAATTTGTATGCACAGGTATTGAGTGATCCACATAGAAGGCAAGTGTATGATCAGTATGGTGAAGAAGGGCTAAAAGACATGTCAGTCTCAAATGAACAACCTGGATACCAAAACGGGTTCAATCCACGAAATGCTGAGGACATATTCGCAGAGTTTTTTGGGAGCAGCCCATTCGGATTTGGATCAAGTGGGAGTGGAGGAGGTGGAAGTGGAAGATCATCAAACAGGTTTACATCCTATGATGGAGGAGGAAATTCCTCTGCTACTTCTACTGGTAATGGAGATTACCGTTTCTTTAGATCAACTAATGATGGAAACAGTAATAGCAGTATGACAAAGCAGAAGCCAGCCCCAGTGGAGACTAAATTAGCCTGCAGCCTTGAGGAGCTCTATTCTGGCTCAACTAGAAAGATGAAGATCTCTAGAACTGTGTTGAATGCTAATGGGTATGTATTAGATTTAACTTGAATCTATAAATTTAGCAGAAACGCATTCTAATTCTATAAAAAAAATATAGTCTTGTACATTCATAAATCCATGGATATGCAGGAGATTACAACAAGAATCAGAGATATTATCCATTGATGTAAAGCCAGGGTGGAAGAAAGGAACAAAGATAACATTCCCAGACAAAGGGAATGAGCAAGTGAACCAACTTCCTGCAGATCTTGTTTTTGTTATTGATGAGAAGCCACACGAAGTGTTCAAGAGAGACGGGAACGATCTGGTTATTACCTTCACGACAACGTTAGCAGAGGCAATCGGAGGGACAACGTTAAACGTAACAACATTGGACGGGCGGAACCTATCGATCACTGTGAGAGAGATGGTGAGGCCGGGGTATGAAATGGTAGTTGAAGGAGAAGGCATGCCCATTGCGAAAGAGCCCGGGAGTAGGGGTGATTTGAAGGTTATTTTTGAAGTTAAGTACCCGACTAGGTTGACCACCGAGCAGCAAGCTTCCCTCAAGCTCATTTTAGGTGGATGAATCACACCATGTAAAAAATCAAACTTTTCTTTTTTATGTACATGAAATCACTCAAAAAGATTAGTTTAAGGTGATAAATGCAATGCGAACGAATCGACGGAAACATGAGCTGAAATTGCCGCAACAAGAGGGATTCTAATCGCTACGGCAAAACAATGCTGACGAATCGACGGAAACATGAGCTGAAATTCCATCAATAGTCCATCTTCTCTTACTTTTTTTAACCCGGAAGGCAAATCACCAAAATCAGTTGGACAAATATCAGAGAACATTTGGCGGGTTTTATTAAAATAAGAAGAAAATTACATAAAGAGGGGACTAAACTAATACCTTTTCCAAAATTAAACAAACTTTCTAAAAGAAGAAAAATTAAAGAAATCAAGAGTAATAGCTATTTTGACCAGCCCAGGTAATGAGACCAGATAGTCCAAGATAAGTCCATCTTCTCTTACTGTGTCTTCTTTGCCCATTCTGATAACCGGAGGGTGCAATTTGGGTAAAGCCCATAAAAACCCTTAACGATCATAAATCAAGCATTTTGGGATCTCTTTTCTCCTCTTAATTAAAAGAAGTATTTTGGGATATCTTTTCTCCTCTTAATTTCCAGGTATTTTTATAGATATCATATGTGTCAATTTGATTTGGTTAATGGAATTGTTATGTCCGCATTTGATCAGCAAGGGGTTTTCTAGTTTTTTATGTTCGCAACCTTTCCAATGTGTGATTCTTTTATAGCATTAGACATATTAGATAGACACTCGTCTACAATATTGGAAACCCATAAAATCTAGATCAACTTGAAGATGTAAGGGAAAATCGCGCTTTTGGTCCCTCAATTAGTCACCATATTGAAATGTCAGATCTGTGTTTCTGATATTGTAAATGTCACCTCCGAATTGACGATGTGTCGTAAATGTCATCCGCGCCGTTTATAATTCATCTCCAATTCTAAACTACCAATAAATTCACCATAGATGCCAATAACAACACATCTGTCAATTCGAGTGTGACATTTAATTTACAATCTCAGAAACACGAGTCTGACATTTCAATATGGTGACTAATTGAGGGACTAAAAGTGTGACTTTACTAAGATTCAATTTAAATATAATAGGGGAAAAGTAAGAACTTCGAGTCTAGATAACAAAAAAACTATTGACAATGAAAAGGAGACACAACTTCAAGGGATTTGAATTCATTGCTAATCAATAATCATAATAATGTGTAGTATAATCATCACATTATTCTATGTTTGAACTTCTTTTTCAATAATTGTGTAATTTTTTCTCATGACTTATCCAACACAATTCACGATTTGTTATATTGGATACAAAAGAACTTGAATACCTTTATTTAGTTCCTTAAGTATATAAAAAAAAGCCAAAGATCTAGGCAGCCATCCAATAACATTTTGGATAATATATGACATTTTATCCTTGTACCTATAAGCTACGGAGTATTATATATTGGAATAATTCTTCACATGTTTAACTACAGTTATATTAATTATTATATGTTATACAGATTGTGGGTAAAGCCATTTTGCGAGAATAAATAAATCATAAAAGTTCATTTAATACCAATAAGTTATTCACTCACCATTACTTAACATTTAGGCGAATGAACTAGTATAAAATTGAGCATTTTGCTCATTTTGAATAGATCTAGACTATTATTTTGAGTTTAAAATAGTGTTTGACTCATATTAATATTTATTCATATGGGAATTTTGACATGTGTTGTTCAAATACTTGATCACCATATATGGAGTAAATATTTGTGCATTTGATTCTTTTTACAACCACAAATCTAGATACGTGTTTGATATATAAGATTATTTTATGTGGCTATATATATGTTGTCTATTCACATAAGCTCCTGATGTTCATTTGCTTACCTACTCGGATTATTTATATATTTATTTTTTTATTATAACTTTCCTATAATATTGATGATTATTACACTATTATTATACGTAGTACAAAAATACAAACATGTGCTTCTTATCAATGGCTAATAGCGCATTTAAAAAACAGTTTATTCTCGCATTTCTTTTGCCTATTGGAGAATATGTTCATATTTTTATTATTTTTTGAAATACACACACATTATTTTCCCTCAATAAACGTATATTTTTAGCGTATTTATTAGCCTATATCGGTTATGGATAGACATTTACTTATCCGATTAATGACATAATTAAATCAAATTTGCATAAATATTCATCATTACTATCGTTTATGACATTTTAAACACACTTGTACTATTTAATAATACATTGAGATTAAACAAACTTGAGAAATATATCTAATTTCTGATTAATGAAGTACAAGTCATTCAAATTGTGTGTATAATATATCATTCTTTTTCTAGAATTACATTCTTGGGCTTTCCATGATGTAGCATTATTGGCACGCTATTCATATGAATATTTATTAAATGCATGTGAATTGTCAGTGAATGCGATATTTATAAAATATAAAGTTATATGAAGTATTTTTTTATTGTTTTGAAACACTTATGCTAATGATATGTTTTTAGAACCATAATTCAAACTAAATACCATAAGAGTTTAATTATGCCTCATGATTTGAATATTTTCTGAGATATCAATTGATTTTCTCTCCCAATATAGCATTTTTCTAAAGTTGTTTTTGAAACTTCTTATTTAATGTGCTCTTAATAGCCTTTCATTGCCTTGATTATGTATGATGAAAATTTTATCAGTTCGTTAACATTTCATTGCCTTTTTAATACGTATTTGTATTATTATAAAAATTACTTTATGGTAACTTGAGTTAATGGTAAGCCTTAAGGAAAATGCTTTGAAGATTACATGTATGTTCCACATATCTCTATTTATAGTTTGGTCATTTGGAACATAATATGATTACATGTATATGATAAAGTTGATTGTTGAATATTATTCGACAAGTTAACGTGACTAGTATGGCTCCGGTGTTTTATAAAACACTCAAGTAAGTGATATACTTTAAGAAAATGTATGATTGGAAAATTTGATATAGACTTCAACTATATTCAAAATATAGTTCAATATTGTTATGGATACGCATATAATGCCTAGAAAATCACAAGTTAATGCAATTATGTATGATGATTAACTTAAATTAATCCACTCGAGAGGGAGAAAAGAAACAAAATTTAATAGATGGAAATATGAAATTACAACAATGTGTCAGATGTCACTATAAGAACATGGATTTGACATATAATTTGAGGTTTATGCTTGTCTTAAGTTATTGAAATAAATATTAATTATCAGGCAATGAAAAGTATAAAACTGTGTTATTATATGTCAAGATAAATTTTAGAAATACACTCAAATGAATAGTTCGTGATAACCCTTTAAATTTTATTTTTTTTTATTTATTTTTTAATTTTTTTATTTTTTTAAAAATAAATAAATTATTATTATCGAAATATTATTATTAATTTTTTTAGTGTTTTTACGATTTTTTATTATTTTTTATTATTTTATTATGAATTAAAACATTTTAATAGCTATAAGGGTATATTTGTCCAAGACACACATAATTAGTCCTATGAAAACATAATTTATTTTTTGATCCTATTTGTGCAAAGTGAGTGACTTTTAGTCCTATTTTGATAATTAACCCATTAATTAATTTAACAAAAGTGGTAAAGTGTGACACCACTTTTCCGATATCTCTTTTTAATCTTCTTTTTTTTGACAGAAAATAAAGTTTTATCAAAGTAGAAATAAAAAGAAAGTACAACGCATATGAAGAACAAAGTTTTATTAATAAAGTTTTTCAATCTTCTTGTGGCCATATAATTTTATTACTATTGCGCTTATAGTCCCTTTGAGACTATCTTTTAGCTACTAACTTATTAACTTCATGTGTTGAATTTGTTACTTATAGAAGGATTGGAGATACATTTTGGATGTCATTGTTGAACCTCTCTTTTTGAACCTATCTTAGATAGTTTTTTTTATCTCGAAAGGCCAACCAACAAAATCAATGGGATATATGTCGAGGGACATATACCATAACCTATCTTAGATAGTAAATTAAGTTAATTTTTAAGGGTGTCATGACATTTTAGTCTATCAAAAAAGTTTAATACTACCCATTATACTTTAGTAAGACTATACAATCCTTTATGCATAAAACATTGACACAAATTCAATGAGGGATATTAACACATGTTTACGATCATAATGTTTCTAGAAGATACACATAATAACGATAACAATAATAATAAATAACAAAAACAATAACAATAGATCAAGTCAATCTTTTAAGACATGAAAGAATGTTTATGGTCTGATCTAAATCTTCTTGATCTGATCGAATTTGAATCTTTATAATTTGATCTTAATTTTGTGTTTGAATATGTACTTTTCTGATTAGATCCGAATAAACTAAGAATAAGTCATACTCTATCTGTCTCTTATAACTATGTCAAAGTTGTCTAACTCGTAAAATAATAAAGTAAAAACTTTGTTATTAAAATTTACACAGAGAAAGATAATTAATAAGAATAACAAATTCTTTATTTAAAATTAAAATCGATAAGGTTAGTGAGATAACAAAAAAAACTAATAAAACTATAAGGGACGAAATGACTACATAATAAGTTATGGAACACCTGTGGGCGTAGCTCAACTGGTAGCAAGGGAGTGCCACAAGGGTTAAGTCCCGAGTTCGAATCCTGACAACTGTGAGAGTTTACTATGCTAAAAATGATGGTAAAATTTACGTCAGATTGAGATTATAGTCCAATTTACGTCCTCCCAATGTACCATCCGATCGGGGTTGGGGGCAAAAGAGGAGGAAAATGATGGTAAAATTTAAAGGTAAAATGATAAAAATAGAAGTATGTACGGTTATATGCATATGGAATCTAGGACAGCATGATGGATGTGATGAGTGTGCATATATTAGTATTCTCTCTGAAGAATCTGAGTCTTGTGCTTTCAAAAAAAAGTTCATCTTTTGATTCACAACCACCACCATCATTCTTTCCTTTATCATCCCCATCCGACCTCATCTCTTTATATACCCACGTACGTGTACGTTTGAGCAATCAAGATCTGGACTTTCCTTGCAGAATGAAAGAGAATTCGGGTTGTTCTCCATTTCCCGTGAAAAGTATGTCTACCCATTAAAGATGGGTTTCCAGGCTATCGTCTCAAACGAGAAATCATTGTTTAAAGATTGTATTCTAGCCCACTTTCCGGTTCGCAGTGTATGTTTGCATGTACGCTCGCTATTCCATTTTTCCTTGGATCTCTAATTTCCACTCTAGGGTTTGATGCGAGCTAGTTGTGTTTGTTTTCATTTCTATTGTTGCATTATTGGCTATCCAGCCTAAGGGACACAAAGGAAGAGAAATGTGGAAAAATCTGCTGACCAAGCTTCATAAAAAATCACTGAAACCCGATTCAGTGAATTCTCCTAGGAACAATTCGGACCCGAATGCAGCTTTGGGCCGGGCAGGCAGCACTCCTAGGAAGACCTCCTCTGCTGTTTTTCCTGCGAGTGTTATATCTGGAATCGAACCCCTTGTTTCCTTCAAGGATGTCCCTACATCTGAAAAGATGAATCTCTTCATCAGTAAGTTAAGCCTCTGCTGTGTAGTTTTCGATTTCACAGATCCTAGTAAGAACACATCAGAAAAGGAACTAAAAAGGTCCACATTGATTGAGCTTTTAGATTTTATCTCTTCTAATCCCCCTAAGTTCACAGAGCCTGCTATTCACGCAATGTGTAAAACATGTGCTGTTAACTTATTCCGCGTTTTCCCACCAAACTATAGGTCAACCGCTGGCCATGCAAATGAAAATGATGATGATGAGCCAACATTTGACCCTGCGTGGCCCCACTTGCAAATCATGTATGACCTCTTGCTTAGGTTTGTCACTTCATCTTCACTAGAAGCAAAGATTGCCAAGAAGTACATTAACCATGCCTTCATTTTGAGACTGCTTGACTTGTTTGAATCCGAAGACCCAAGGGAAAGGGACTGTTTAAAAGCCATTTTGCATAGGATTTATGGAAAGTTCATGGTCCACAGGCCTTTTATTAGGAAGAGCATAAGCAATGTGTTTTACCAATTTGTGATTGAGACCGAAAAACACAATGGTATATCTGAAATGTTGGAAATCTTTGGGAGTGTCATTACCGGTTTTGCATTACCTTTGAAGGAAGAGCATAAGATCTTTCTTTGGAGGGCTCTTATTCCTTTGCACAAACCTAGATCTTTGACGGTTTACTTTCAGCAGTTATCATATTGCATTGCTCAGTTTATTGAGAAGGATCCTAAGTTAGCTAGCGTTGTGATTAGGGGTTTGTTGGACTACTGGCCAATCACAAACAGCCAGAAGGAGGTTATGTTCTTGGGTGAGATTGAAGAGATTCTTGAAGTAATTACAATGGATGAGTTCCAAAAAGTAATGGTCCCGTTATTCTGGCGAATTGGATGCTGCATAAGCAGTTACCATTTTCAGGTAATAATTGCTTCAATGTCTTCTTCCAGTTCCTACACGTCTGCTCACTATGAGTATATCTTTTAAGCTGTTGTTTTTAATTAGCATACAAAAACATGAACCATTTGATGTCGTGGAATCTAAGAATTGGATCCATTGTAGGAATCCAGGAGCTCATTGGAGTTCTTTTATTACTCACTCCATCCCAAACAGAGTCATGTTTTAACTATTATTTTTGCTGATGTAAAAGCAACAAGAATCCCATTTCATGAAAGAACTTTATTTTTTCATGTAACCTGCCAGAAAATGGTTTACAATATGATAACTTTAGTTGAACCAACAAATAAGCTCTAAAAATTTAATTACGAATTTTATTTGTTTTAACACCTTGCTGAAATTAAAATGCTGTACCTTGACTAAACATGCCTCTTCTTTTGGGACGTATGATGCATTAGTTTTTTTAATGTGGGGGGGGGGGGGGGGGGGGGGGATTGGATCACTGAATCATAAATAGTAAGATATGGATCAGTGTTATGTAAGTTAGATGGAAATGTGCAATTCGCAAAGCAGGCTATGAACATATCTGAATGTGATGATGTAGTCTTTATCCGTATAGAGAGGAGGTGAATTAATTTTGGCATCATTCTACTTTATATGTTAAGTAATAAAAGTAAAGCATGTCATCTCTTGGATTTCATAGCATTGGTTACTGAAGTCTCATCACCTGATTGAAACAATGTGTCGATATGATGAATTTATTTATTCTCTCCCTTATCCCTTCCTTTCCTGTCAGCTCATTAATTAAAGATAAAACTGTAGCTATCTCTTCAATAACTACTACATACTAAGGACGGTACAATGGTTTTTACCTGCTAATGTTTTATTCTTGCAACTAAGTTGTGTTTTCCCCGGAGGATGTAAATAAACAGGTAGAACTCATTAGCTGTCTTACTTTCTCATGCTGTTGTCCTGCAGAACTATTTTACACAAAATACCATAGATAGTTGTTAAATGTTAATTAGTCAACTCTATAATCCTTGATGTTTTTTGAACATGAAGAAATGAGATTGTTGATATTATGCAATTATATAATATCAATGACCGTAATGATTAAGAAAGAACAAGCTACTGGCTTACGGGATGAGCCCTAAGGGTGAAAACTTTTGAGGTTTTCTTTTGGTTATTGTAGCCATCCCACTGATTCAGTATTAAACTTTTGCTGTTGTCTTTTAGATTTTTTACCCAAAATGTTCTTAAAGTGTTATGAACTACTCAACTCTGTAATTCTAGATGCTTTTGGAACTCACTTAAATGAGATTCTTTATATAATCTAAATACGTAAGGCTGAGGATGTCATTATGCCATCATCTCTTGTGGTCAGAAAAGACTTGACCATCTCTTCTCTTACCTATCCTACTGGACAGATAGTTTTTCCTTTGACTCCCTGAAGTTCCTTTTCAATGACCTTTGGGCTAAGTTCGGAAAGGGAAAACATATATGCTAAGGAAAATGGTTTTTATGTTCAGTTTTACCACGGAATATGTGAACCAAACTCAAATTTCATGACTTGTTAAAATTTAAATTTCTTAGTCTTTATTTACTTTTTCTGTCCCACTAAACTTCCATGTGTTCAATGTTATGCGTTTTTGTACTTTAATTTTGAGTATCAACTTTTATCAAATTGGAATTTGTTTTTTGCTTCGATATAACTATTAATGTTGTTTCTAAATATGTGAATTTTAATTACTAATACTAATTTAAATAGTGTGGCTGAGGCTTTAATTTATCATCAATCAAACTTCATAAAATTTAAATGACAAGGTTTTAAGGGATGGAGGTAGTATAATATAAATGTACATTTTTGCAGACCAAGGTAAGGACTCGCAGTGTATCTGAATGTAATAACCTAGCCTTTTACTTTATATGTTACAGAGCAAGTAATAAGAGTAAATCTTATTTTTCTTGTGAATGCCATGAAATATGGTGGAACTTTTCAAAGTTCTGCATATACTCCCTCCGTCCCGAAATAAATGTCCTGCTTTCCTTTTCAGTCCATCCCAAAATAATTGTCTTGTTTCCTCTTTTGGCAATAATGGGTGGCTCATATCAATTCACCTTTTTCTACTCAAATCTCAACCACAACTTTTACCTTTTCAACCACTTTCTTAAAACTTGTGCAAAAGCAAACAAGACAATTAATTCGGGACGGAGGGAGTATTTACTTTTTAATTATCTATCATAGAAATATATATAAGACGTTGAGCATATATAAAAAAATTATTTATTGAGTTTTGAACTAGTTTTCTCCACATTTCCTTCCCTTCCAAATCTTCCTCACATTTTCCTGGCTACTCTCTTTCCCTCACATTTTTACGAGATCCAAACACACCCCCATACTGTGTTTTTGTGTGCGGCTGTGCGCGCAAACAACTTTGATACCTTCAAGGTTTGAAATAGCAACCCCTAGTTCCTTTTTAAAGAACTTGTGCTTTCTTGTAGTCCTAACCAGCCAATACATGTAGGTAGCAGAAAGAGCTCTCTTCATGTGGAACAATGACCAAATCGTCACTCTAATTGCGCATAACCGGCACACCATACTGCCCATCCTATTCCCAGCCCTGGAAAACAATTCTCGTTCCCACTGGAACCAAGCTGTCCAGAGTTTGACTCTAAACATAAGGAAGCTGTTTGTTGAAATGGATGACGAGTTATTCTGGGCCTGCCAATCCCAATACAAGGAACAACAGCAGAAGGTAGACTTGGCAGCTCTAAAGCGTAAAAAAGAATGGGAATGCCTAGAGAGTCAGGCCCAACTGTTGCCAATAGCAGGGAATACTGCTGTTTTAGTATCACCATTAGCAACTAAATCGGGCTGTTAAAATGGGCCCTTGGAACCAGTTTGTTTAAGGAGAAAATGCCGCTACTCATCTGGTCCCATGGTGTTTTTTGCATTGCCCGTCTGGATAGCATTGCCCATGTGTGTTGTAAGTTGTAATTTCTTTATAGTTGCCCTTTTGTTGTACTATTATGTACTATAAGCCTCCCCTAAAAATTTGAATGGGGAGTGACTTGAAGTGGTATGTAAAGTTCATAAACCAGCATCTCTCATCACCCCTTCTTGAATAATAGTTATGTTTCAGCTAAGCTAGGCAGTGAAGTGTTCAGGGAATGTAATGGATTTTGTTGAAAATATCCTTGTAAGTGAGAATATGAGAGTATTTCCTTGCATTTCTCCATCCCTAGCCTCACTCATTATATTTTGCATTTTGCTTTGGTTCAAGTCCTCTTTAGAAAGAGATGCACCATGTCTATTCCATTATGATTCTTTTCCCATTTGATTCAAAAGGTGGAATCTCCCACCCCAGGAGCCCCCCAACCCCGACCCGACAAGATGGTGGGGAGGTTAATCACGGTGACTCAGTCAGCAAAGCGGCGGTAGGCCTTATACACATGCGCATCCGAGGTTTAGCCTTATTTCAGGTTCTGTAACCTCCACACGACTGCTGCGGTTATGATGATTCTTTTCCCAAGTTCTACTATGGTACTACACTTTTAGTGCCCAATTGGTGCCAGTGTGTCACTCTTAATCGAGTTTTAGTCCGATGGGCCCAGATTGCATTACACGTCTGAATTGTTTTGGCTCATTGATAAGATTGATGGGCCCAGACTCCTTTACACATCTGGTATAGTTTTTGGCCCATGGGCAAGCCCAATGCCTCTTTGGGTAGGTTTGGTGAAATATGGAATACAAAATGAAATTTAGTATAAAGGTCAAAATGATAAGCACAACTCTACAACTCCTTTTCGAGAGCATAATGAAATTACCCTCAGGGTATGTTTGGAAGTTTGGATGGAAGGAGGGGGGAAGCCTTTGGAGGTAATGAGGTATGTTGTTGGAGGGGAAAGGGAAAGGAGGGTGAGTAAGTCTTTCTTTGTATTTAGGAGTAATAAATTTGGAAGAAGAGAATTTTTGAATGAATTATAATTAAAATCACTTTAAGATATGATGAATTTAAATAACTGAACTGATATTTATTTTTAATTGAGCTTAAATTACCATTTCGTTAATTATCCTTCAAAACCTTCCAAATTGAGGAACTTAAAAATTGAACATTTAGAGGGTTTTGAAGGGTCACAAGTAGGGTTGGATTCGGTTCGGGCCACCCGGCCCGTGACCCGGCCCGGTACTGTGCGGGCCCGGGACCGGCCCGGTCGGGCGATCCGGGACCGGGTATGGACCCGAACCGGTGGGAAGGGGCGGGGCGGGCTCGGTGCTGGATTATTGTGACCCGGCCCGGCCGGGTCGGGCCCGGGCCCGGGTCCGGTCTAATTTAAAAAAAGAAATTGTTTGGGCTACTAGCCGTTGGGGGTGGGGCTGGGGACAACCCAAACGGCTATATAGCCGTTGGGTGGGGTAAAGGGGGGGTCCGAGGGGGTTGGCTGGTGGGGGGTGGGGGGGGGGGGTGGGGGGGTAAAAAAACCTATAAATACTCCTAATCTTAAACATTTTTTCATATCTCTTCTCCAATTCTTCCTAAATCCTATTCTTAACCCTCTACTCTCTAATTCTCTTATTCTCCATTCTCCAATATATTATATATATTATTTATAGTTTATATTAATCATCTACTTATATAAACTATAAATAGATATAAATAGTATTATATTACTTATATTTGTTATCTAATTATATATTACTTATATATTTATTATATCTATTAATATAGTTGGAATTATATCTAATTAATTTGAAGTCATTCTATTACTCCCATCCGAAAGACCGAAAGTCCGAAAGAGGTACGAAATTATTCTATTATTTACACTTGTTTAATTACTAGTTAATTTGCTACATTTGACTCTTGTTTAATAGTTAGATAAATAGTTAATTAGTTTTTTACAATTTTTTATTAATTGCTACATTTGACTCTAGTTTAAAAAATATGTTGTACACAAAACTAGTTAATTCACTACTTAATTTGCTATAACTCGAATTAATAGTTAGATAAATAGTTAATTAGTTTTTTACAATTTTTTATTAATTGCTACATTTGACTCTAGTTTAAAAAATATGTTGTACACAAAACTAGTTAATTCACTACTTAATTTGCTATAACTCGAATTAATAGTTAGATAAATAGTTAATTAGTTTTTTACAATTTTTTATTAATTGCTACATTTGACTCTAGTTTAAAAAATATGTTGTACACAAAATTAGTTAATTCACTACTTAATTTGCTATAACTCGAATTAATAGTTAGATAAATAGTTAATTAGTTTTTTACAATTTTTTATTAATGGGTACATTTGACTCTAGTTTAAAAAATATGTTGTACACAAAACTAGTTAATTCACTACTTAATTTGCTATAACTCGAATTAATAGTTAGATAAATAGTTAATTAGTTTTTTACAATTTTTTATTAATTGCTACATTTGACTCTAGTTTAAAAAATATGTTGTACACAAAACTAGTTAATTCACTACTTAATTTGCTATAACTCGAATTAATAGTTAGATAAATTGTTAATTAGTTTTTTACAATTTTTTATTAATCGCTACATTTTTTAGATGGATCGTCCTAGATATTCGGTTGATATGGGTAACCTCGAGCGCAACCGAACGAAAGAGCTTGCGAGGAAGAGATCCCGCAAAGGTAAATCACATATCGGCTCTTCATCTCAAAGTCAAGATGATTTTGATACGGGTTACGTAAGGAGGGATGGGGATGCGATGACCGACGAACAACTAGAACAAGAATTACACCGACATAATTCCCGCTTTTTTCAAGACCAACCGAGGACCATTGACGAAGAAGAGCTCGAGGACGAGGAGGGTGGCGGCAGCCATGACGCCGACCAAGCAACCTCATCCCAAACAGGTACAAAAAAAAGTAAATCTGAATTAATGGCTAATAATTTTTCTAAGTGGAAGGACCCGAACACCGGGAATTGGACCGCAACTTGCAATTGGTGCAAGAAAAACTATAGCTTGGGGATTTCCGGCGGATACGGATCCGCCACAAGACACCTTAAGTCCAAACACCTGGTGGAATATGCAAAATTAGGCGGCGGAACGGGGAAGCAAACGCAAATATCGAGGTTTGCAAATAACCAACAAGCTTTTGGTAATTTCTCATACAATGATGCACAAAATTTGACAGGTATGGCTAACTTACTTGTTGAAGAAAATTTGCCTTATTTGTTTTCTGAAAGTCTTGCTTTTCGTGATTATGCACAAACTTGTTTAAATCCGCAATATAGAGGTTATAGTCACAAAACGGTTAAGAAAGAAATTTCAAGGCTTTATGGTGCGGAAAAGGTAAGGTTACAAAATTATTTTGCAAATTTTGATGGACGTGTTACTGTATGTTCTGACATATGGGAGGATACTTATCATAATTTACATTATTTGGGTCTGACTGTACATTATATTGATAATGATTGGCATATGCATAAACGTGTTCTTGCTTTCCGTGAATTTAATGATCGTCACACCGCTGAACATATTTATATTTTGATTGAACGTATTTTAATTGAGTATAATTTAATTGATAAGGTGTTTGCTATTGGTTTTGATAATGCTACTAATAATACTGCTGCTATTCCTAGATTGCGTGAATTGTGTGATTCTACTTCTTTGATGGGTAGATTTTTTCATCAACGATGTGCATGTCATGTTCTAAATTTATGTGTGCAAGATGGTCTAAAAGCGTTGGGAGCATCGTTGGAGGTAGTCAAGGGGGGATTAGACGTATTTGGGGTAATGGACAACTTAGGAAAAAATGACATGATTATTTGATAGAAAGAGGTGAGAGATATGTGGCTTTTCCAAAAGATTTGTCTATTCGTTGGAATAGTACCTATAAGTTAATTGGAGTTCTTCTTAGATATAAACAACATTTTCCTGCTTTTATGAAACAATATGATAACTATATTATAAACTCGGCTGAGATCGACACCTGTGAAAAAATTTGTAATGCTTTGATATATTTTAATAATGCAACTGAAACTTTTAGTCATGTTTATAAACCAACCTCAAACCAATTTATTCGTGAAGCTGTTAATCTCACCGGTGCTTTTTCAAATTTTGAGAATGCTGATTATGTGAGTTATTTTGTTGGTTTTATGAAGGAAAAGTTTTTAAAATATTATTCACATATTCCGCATATTTATGGTATTGCATTTGTTCTCGATCCTCGTTTTAGACTTGGTTCTTTAGAAGAATGTTTGAATTATTATTATGCTGCTTTTTTTGGTCCATTGCCAATGTATGAGGACAACCCAATTGATCCGAAAAAAGAATACAACGAGGTTAGTGATATATTTTATGCATTATTCAATGAGTTTCATGCACAATATGGCAATGCGCCCCCTCCCCCGACACAAACATCATCTAAAGGAAAATCAATTTTCAAATCTACGTTTGCCAATCTTATTAAAAAAACAAAACCAACTCCCGCTACACAACAAAGCACAATTAATGAGATTTCTTTGTATTTAACTTATGATGTTGATTTTGAAAAAGATGATGATTTTGACGTACTAAACTGGTGGAAGGGAAAAGAAAGAATGTTCCCGGTTTTAGCAAAGATGGCTAAGCAAGTGCTATCAATGCCGGTTTCAACGGTTGCCGTGGAACAAGAATTTAGTTCGGCCGGCAATGTTCTAACACAAACCAGAACGAGGTTGAGCGCTGAATCTCTTGAGATGCTTATATGCTACCACGATTGGTTGAAAGCAGCACGTAGAGCTCAAGAAATTGACATCACTCCATTCCAACACTTTATGAATGAATCTACAACAGAGGGTGGCTCTACCTATGCCGGAGATTCCGATTAAAAACAATTATAGTTCCTATTTAATTTTCAAATGTAGTTCCTATTTCATTTGAAATAAATGCACTTGAAGTTTGATTTTTAATAATTGTATAAAACTATAAAGTATAAAATATAAATTAAAAAAAAATATTTAACCGGCCCGGCCCGACCCGTGACCCGGGCGGGTGGCCCGGCCCGAACCGGACCCGTCCAACCCTCGGACCGGTCCCGGGCCCATGTGATACGAACCGACGGCCCGACCGGGTCTAGGCCCGGCCCGGCCCGGGCCCGACCCGACCCGAATCCATCCCTAGTTACAAGCCCTCCAAAATCATCCCCTCTAATTTTATAAACTCCCAAACATGAAAAGGATGGTCATAAACCCCATCAACATTTCCCCCTTCAAAATCCAACTCTCAAC